AATTTGTTATTGAGAGAAAATTGAAGATGTGAATTTTGCCAAGGTGGAGATTTGTTGAAATTGTCAAATATCCCATATCGGTGGTTGACACTTTTGTTTGGGAAATTTTCCCTATAAAAGGATGCTTAATGTTTAGGATTTAGATACACCTCTCATTTGCCTTCTTATCTTCGTAAGACATTTATATCTTCTCTCTTTACTATTATTTCACTTGTATTTTTGGAGTGAAATAAAATATTGGTTGTGTCCGAGGAAGTAGGCAAAATTGGCCGAACCTCGTAAATTCTGGTGTTCCTTTTATTGTTGCTTTATTGTCTTATTTATTATTTGGTGGCTGTCATAATTTTTGGTATAGTAATTATGATCATTCACACTATATACATTTGGCTTCCGCAACAATTGTTACTTTAGCTCTCGTCATGGGCGTGGCTGGGAAATTGCTACAATACAGTTCCTGAATTAATAGGTTATGATTTCTATGTAAGGAAAAGTATATAAAAACCTATTCTAGGAATGTCACAATTCTATGGGAAGAAAAAGTTATTTGAAAAAAATATAATAACTATTTCCAATGGGTTTACATAATTAATCCCCCTTTTTTTATTTACTTACGTGGTGGCTCCTAATTCCAATCGGCAACTAAATTCTAAATACACCCAACGCTTCTCAGCTCTTTGGACCAACCATGTCCACGATAGCTAAAAAACGATCATACATATATAAAAAGATTATTGTTCTTTTCTAATTTATATGGTTTTTATGCGCAAAGTGTTATTAGTTACAACTATGTCTGTGATCAAAATAAAAACAATGCACTAAATGTTGAAAGAGAAAATGCTACAGAGGCCTTCACAGGATTTGTTAGGGCCCAAACAAATGCTACTGTTGGGACGTCGCGCCATATAGTCCGCATCGGTTTGGTCGTCAATTTAGATTTTACCAAAACATCCCCTTTTTGGAGAATGATATCCGTAGTGCCCCTCTAGATGAAGGACTCAAATTTTGGAGGATTTGCACACTGTATCGGTCTATGTCACATGCGACTTTTCCCCCAACGGGAGATCCTGTGAAGAAGCTTTTATCCACCAATTATATATCTTGGTGGGAGAAAGCGCATGGGAAGTTTCTTGAGGATAATCTAAAGCTCTGAGGAAATCATCCATTTACATTGAATTGGCTCTTCAAGTCGTACTCTCACGCAAGGTGAACTAGAAGATGTTCCATTACATCAAAAAAATCAAGAGTAAAAATATTCTCTAGCTTGTTTAAGGTTAAGCGAATATTACTCTCCATGAAAGCTAGGTTGTCTTTCCTCAATATTGTTAGAAAACAAATCCTTACACTAGAAATTCATCTCTATGATGAGTTTCCATATCTATTAGGCAAGGCATATTGAATGCAATAGACATCAAAGTTTTCATGAAAATGTGATAATTGTAGCTTTTCATAGACGTCAATTTTCCTTCTTTCATAACAGCACTCCTGGATAAGTTTGATGCATGCCCATCATACATCCTCAAATTGTTAACTCAATCATCTAAAATCAGTTAAAAATTTGCTTATTTAACTTTTCCTTATTGAATTAGATAGAAAATTCTTATATTTAGTCCTTCAAAATCAATTAAGAGTTTTACCTTATATAAATTTTCTTATATACACGTTAGAAACAACTATCAGTTAGCAAAGTTTATACGAGTCTAAAACAATGGTTTTGATAAGACAAAGATCCAACGTTTACATGTGAACCTAAACTAATATAAAACAAATTAAAAATAACTATAGACGTAAGAAACTTAACCAAAACAATTTGAATTGCACTGAGCAAAAAGGGTAAACACAATTTCCTTTGTATGTATATAAACTATTGAATTCCTTTGACATAGGTTAATATATCTCAAATTTCTGACTCACTGCTGTATGCTGGTATTAACAATGTGGAGTTTAATAAAGCCAACTAAACATTGTATTGAATTATGCGTTGATTTGTTTTATTGTACAAACCAACCCAACATTGAATTTCTTTAAGCTAGATTTTATTTTTGGGATAATTTTTGTTAATGTGGTGAATCAAATGATCCCATAGCGTACTATTGATTTGGTGTGGGTTAATATTTACCATGTACTGAGTTAAAGAATCAGCTAGTACTACAGAATTAATCAAAATTTCAGAGGAAAATGGAAATATCAAATAACAAGTATAGACTTCTGGAATGGGCTGGAATGAACAGATCAATAAGACAATAGCAACTACAGAAAAATCCTTGACCACATCTTGACTCAGTCCGTATACACATTTTTTAAACTAAACATTACAGTAAATAACTTTGCATGCCTGAAAAACCATGAATCATGTAAAAGCTAAGTATTCTGCTGACACAGTCTGTATTCTTTTTGCATATGTGTACATAATTCGAGCTGATATAGGTTCAGTTGAACCTCGCCCTAAAGCCGTCCTTGGGAGTTGTCACCTATTCCAGGGTCAATAGTGGCGCTTAAAAGATCGTCCGCGAAGCCTGGATCGATGGTGAAATCACACTCCTGCTACTGCAAATTATCATCAGTAGAAATGTTGTTCCCAAATGGACTGCCAATAGAGGAACCAGATTGAAGTATATCTATCCACCCTTTATCTGATATACTATCAAATAGTCTTTCCTTTAATTGCATTGCGTCAGTAGAAGCCTGATAATCACTATTTACTTGTAGTATATTACTGTCTAAAACAGAGGTACTCTGTCCCCCGTCTGAAGGTGTCATGTCTTCTTTCTGACATTGTTTGATATACCGTTTATTTTTGTGTTGGACTTGGTAACTATTATTTGAGAGTGAAGTGCTTGAGGCTGCTGCTGAATTAGTTTCGACTATGTTGTTAACGGACGGGTCACTAAGGAACAGATGCGGGAAATTAAGCCGCGCATTTGATCCTCGGAGCCTAAAGGCCTCAACATCATAAGCAAAAGCGGCTTCTTCAGCACTGTCAAACGTGCCTAGCCAGAGTCTAGTTCTTTTTCGTGGAAGACGAATCTCCGCTACCCATTTTCCCCAGTGGCGTTGTCTAACTCCCCTGTACCGCTTAGGGGTTGTGGAAACAGTGCCATAATTGTAAGTGTTCCGACACTGAACTAGCGCAAGATGGCACGGGTATAGAGAGCAATTTTGAGGTGCAAAAGAAATCATAGTTTGGTTCTGAACAGGTGATTGCATAGGAAGTTGATCATCAAGGGCAAAAGGAAAACTAAATCTTGAATTATGGGCAGTGTAAGTAGACTGTTTTGGATCATAAGTTGCAGCTCTAAGGTCTTTGTGTTCTGATGATGGGATTTTGAGCTTCTTTAACGGTCTATCAATCGACATAGTGGATTGAATATTGCTAATTGATTCGACATATTCCATTTTTTGTGCTCGTACGAGATGGTTCAAAGCAATATTACAATGAAAAGGCTTAATTGGAGCTTAGGTTTATTTGATAAAGAGGACAAGAAACATGGATGCTGACATTTAATTGAAGCCTTCTTTTTCAACAACACAAGAGAGTTCATTTTTCTCACACTAAAGGGACAGCAAAAGTCAGTTGCGTTTGCATGCGAGCACGTTTTTGTTGACATAAAAAGGCATGACTCTTGCATTTCTGTAGAAGCCAACCCAATCTTACTTACTTGTTAAGTGATGGAGGTTCGTTTACCTCGCTAGCCACTTGCTTTTGTGATTAGTAAGTAATGAATACTACCTTTCTATACAATAATGTTCAAATATTAGAAGTTTTAGTTCCATAAGAAAAAAGTAAGGCATGCATTAGACTAGGGGCGGAGGAAGAGTATAGGCTAAGAGTTCGGCCAAACCCACTAGTTTTGGTCCAAATTATGCATCTGTCTTAAGAAATTCATTGAATATGTATAAATTAGTATTTTAGCATTCAGTAACTTAAAAAATTTATAATCCAAAACTCATAAACTTCAAATCCTAATTAGGCTTATCTGCATAATTAGATGATGATTGGTTTTAAAAAGGGTATTTAATTTCAGTTTAAGAAGTCTTAGTTTGGTTATTGAAGTTGGCATCATATGGCGATTGGAAGAAGAGGAAAGGTACATAGGGTATTTCACATTTAGTTACTCCATCTCTTTCAATATATGACTTACTTTTTTGTGTTATATATAGAATAAATACCATATTTCTATATATACTAGAGTAAGTTTTTTGTTCCAACATTTTCATTTTATTTAAGAGTTGGTTGTGATTGCATATTTAAGAGTTGTAAGATTCAAAGGGTAATTTCCATATCTTATAGTTATATACAACTTTAGTTAAAAGTCACAAGATTCAAATATTTTCTTTTATATTCTTAAACTATGTGTCAAATTAAGACAAATAAATGAGACAAAGGAGTATAAGTTTGGCAATATTTTAATTAAAAAAAGAGTTTTAATTTAGCATTAACAAGTTTGAGGCCGAGCTTTTCGTTATCTCTAAAAGTAGACCAACTCTTTGCTTCATCATAAGTCATAATAATTAAAAGTTAAAACTCTTGGCCGTGATATAATTGATAGGGATTTTTTCATTTCTATACACTATTGAAAACTTTATTATCCTAAATGTTCGTATTTAGTAAATTACCCTACCTATACAAGTTTTATTTATAAAATATATACATTCCACCTTAAAAGCTAAAACTTATATATAATATATATAATAGGTCAATATGGGGAGTGGAAGACAGCACCGAATCACAAGGGAGCCAAAGTGTACAGAAAAGGTTAAAAGTATCTTTGGCCAAAACTTACTTCAGTTTTCTTTTTCAACATTGAAATTGCACCTTACAAAGCTAAACATGCACAAGCATCTAAAAATAGCATCATTGGCAATATCTTTTCTTTTTTTCCAGTTGCACCCAGAGGACCAAAGTTTAGAATGCTCTAAGCTAAAATGAAGGGCACATATACAATACAAATGCAGAATCATATTCAATCGGTAAAAGACCAACAAATTAATTCTTGTCTTATTCATTTGCAAGAAAATTTCAAACACTCTGGAAACATAAAGAAGTAAAAATAACAAACCTCATGAAAATAGATTGAACATAAGGAGTGTTGCTTGTTTGTAGGGCGTATCTTTTTTTTTTTTTTTCTGAATTTGGGCGCTTTATTAATTAAGTAAGCAGTAGTTTGAGTGAAGGGGAAATGGATTAGACATCTTGTGATGTTTAGCTTTGCAACGTCACCACTTCTCTTTCTTTCTTCTGCATTTCCTCTTTAATTTGCCCCTTCTTCCTTTTGGATGTTTTGGCATTTGGCACGGTACACGTGGTCCAAAATTAAATACAACTATAATAACATACAACTTAAATGCAAATTTTATATAAAATTTATACCATATGTCTTTTGTATATTTTGTATCTGATTTATACATAGTAAAAACAACTCTCATATAACTAATTATATATTATATAATTTATCTACAACTTTCACACATTATTTCTACCCAGTTAAATACAACTACAATAACATATAACTTAAATACAAAATTTATATAATATGTCTTTTGTATATTTTGTATCTGATTTATACATAGTAAAAACAACTAATTATATATTATACAGCTTATCTACAATTTTCATACATTATTTCAGGGAAATTTACATGAAAATACAGTTAGAGGAAGTACTTTTCACCCGCCTAACCCACAAATACAGTTTTCATCCGGTGACCCACAAACATTAATCAATTTTCTGAAAACAAGTTAAACTCACAAATTTCATCGAACTTCGTCAACTGTTTACCCATAAATCACATCGTACTTCGTCAAGCTTTTACTCTTTTTGATTACTTTTTTCTTTTCCAATCTTTTCACACCAGATTTCGCTTTTTTCTTTCATTTTTATCTTTTCCTTTATTCCATTTTCATTCTTATTTATTTTTTACTTCCCTCTGTATAGTATTTCCTAAAATTCACAATATCAAGAAGTTGAAGTAAAAAATATATTCATCCTTAAAGTCTATAATTTTATTTTATTTTTGAAAAATTCAAAGTTTTGTAAGGGAAATTCTTATTTCACTGGAAAAAATAAAATTTTACATTATTAAACACCTTATATACGTTGTTATACATAGTCATACGTTAATTATACACAAATATATAATAATACACATTATCTGAAGCCTTCAAATATTTTTTACAATTATCTATATTGTATAATTATATATAATCTTGTATACTTGTGTATAATTATGTATAACTATGAGAATACACACAAATATACATGGTTATACATGATTATACAAAGTATATATAGTTATACACAACATATACATCATTCCTCCTCCCTTTGGAAGTCATTAGAAGTGACAAGAATAAAAGAAATAACCACTCAATATTTTATTTTTCTTCGAACGGGATGTAACCCAGCTTTTCTTCATAAAGCAAAGCAGCACAACTAACATTTACCATTGGGTAATACATGAACCACAAGTTTAATTCAACCAGTACAACTTTATGTAACAAAATTCGCCAAAATGCCAAAAGCAGTATAACTTCAACAATTATCAAACTCAAGTAAGACACTAAACTCAAGTACCAGGAATGAATCAAATATATATATATTCACCAACGACCAGAAAATAAAAGGATCCTCTAATGTCAAAGTCGGAATCGGCTTCGACGAGCGCTGAATCGAAAAGAAAAAGACTACAAAAGATAGACCCGGATGTGGATTGTTCAACAATATTATTTTGTGGAAGAGGAAGATACAGATGAAACGTAGCAAGAAAATCTGAAAAAGAACTCGACTATTTTGCTAGAGAGAGAGAAAGAGCAGGAGCGAACTGAAAATGAGAGAGAAAGAGGGGTGGGGAGAAAATCTGAAAGAGAAAACTGATTAGAATTATGAATTGGGAATGAAAAAAATTCCTCCGCATAAAGAAAAAGAGAGTGGGGACAGTAACGTGGCTAATTGATGAAAACTATATATACGTGGAATCGTGGATGGGTGAAAGATACGTGGGGGAGGAGGGTGGGATGTGGAGAGAGAAACGTGGGGGAGTGGAAGATACGTTAGAGTAACTTTAAGACACTAATTATTATCATTAATTTCCTTAAAATGTACATAAATGGTAATTGAGTATATAAAATGTAATTATAGTAAAACTTGAGTAGAGATGGTAATATAGTCTTATATAATGTATAGGAATGTAAAAATTCCTAATTAGCATAGTGTAATTTGCAGGCGTGCTTCAGCAATGGGTTGGTTAGTATATAGAGGTCTCTCTCAATAGTATCAGTTTCACAAGGAGATCAATTAAACGAAAAAATAAAAATAAAAATTGTTAGTAAGAAGTCAAAGTCAAATTCATTAAAATGATGTAGAGTAGAAGAGAGCAAGTATGCTTTAGATTTGGTTGCTTTTTGATTGATTTACCAAATATAGATTTATCGAAGGTTGCTTGTTTCTTGCGCGTGCAAACAAATTTATGAAAGCGTGCAAAACAGTAAAAGGGATTTTCTTCTAATGACGCCTCTATTTTGCTCATTCTTCTTTTACTATGTCAATGCCACTATAGAGATTAGTGTGAAAACTTACAAATTGACACAATCCCTTAAAACAACATCGAAATTAATACTAGAAATACTATTGATGAGGAACCAAGAACAAGGGTTGTTAAATTGTTGTCTTGCATCAAGATAGAAACAGATTTATAAGTTGGACATTGCGGGTTTTAAGTTGAAAGAGTGATTTCTGAAATTACATCTAACCTTACCTGAAATAGTAGATTCAACTAAACCTATAAACTCATGATTGGATCCACCACTGTAATAAGAGTTTGAGAATTAAAGATAAGGGGAGAAAAACCTAAGAGAAAATATGTCTTGTCGACTATCAAGAGTTTGTGGTGGGATGGCTAGGATCCTTTCACCCTTAACTAGAGATTTCAGAGCTCTTACCTCTTTAATGGGCTGGACCTTATGCCTCCAGATTAGTCGGGACCCTTACTGAGGATATTCAACACCGAAAGAAAAAACAAATGTCTCCTTCAAGGTCTAAGTGCGCGAATACCGGTTAAACGAGCTCCTCGCTTTGTGGCATGCCCCTAGAGGTGCCAAATTTGACCCATAAATGTGTAACCTGCCCAATCCACCCGAACTTTAATGGGTTGGGCCAATAACATTTTCGTATCTGGTTAAATTGGAGTGTAATCCAAACTGACCCATCTCCTAAATGGGTCAATTTGGGTCACTCAACGGGTCAGTTTATTAACCCGTGATCTTCCTGTTTTTTTATCCGCTTGATGACTTTTAAAGCCGTAACAAAAATTCCTTCGAAATGCCATCAGTTCAGTGAGTGCCATGGCTGTATTGTAGCTTCTGGATGTCCTCTATACTTTCTTATGGATAAATGAACT